AGAGAGATCCTCTCTGTCCGAGTGTTCTCTCGTAATCCGTGCAAAAAACGGATTACGCGCGGCATTCGGCAATGAGGCAACAACAGCCGGTGGACGTATCGCCGCGGTGTCGGTGTTGAGACACTCGTCCCGGTCGTCCAGCCCGGGCGTGTCTTCGGCATCAAGTCCACATCGGCACCGACAGGCGATATGAGTACGAAATTCATAATTGATAGTATGCTACCTGCTAAGTACCAACAATTTCACCCTCAACAGTTGTTCTCAAGCGCGACTCCAGGTACCATTCAGGCGTGCACGACGAGTCCGGCCACCGCGAGCTTAGAATCAAGTTTATCCGCGGCTGCAGTCGCGGCCGCGGCAGTCAATTACGCACAGCAGCACAATTCACCGAGCCCGACAGGTTCGAGTCCTCAACACTCGGGAAGCTCTGCTTCAACATCACCGGCGGCACGTACCACATCCAGTATGTATCCGTACGTGTCCGCTGCAGCGGCGCATCATCATCATCAGCAGCAGCAAGCGGTCGCGGCCGCCGCATTCGGTGCGACGTCAAGTATGGTCCCCGGTTTCGGCTCCACCGCGGCATCCAGCGCTGCTCTCGCCGCCGCCGCTGCCGTCGACGCCGCGACCGCCGGCGACAAATCCTGCCGTTATACAGCTAGTCTGACCGGCAATGTAGCACCTGCATCCGCCGACCCTATGGTTAACTATACTCTAGGCCACCATCATCAGAACGGCGCTACGCCTGGTAGCCTCGTCTCATCCGCGTCCGCATCCTCCGCCGTCTCTGCCGCCTCCGCCTCCATGGCTGCGGCGGCACAGTTCTACCATCAGGCGGCCGCCGCATCGGCTGTTGTCGATCCTTTGACGTCCTGCCAACAACCTACCACAGGTCAACCTGGGATCTCGGATATACCTCGGTATCCATGGATGTCTATTACCGGTGAGTCTTAAGTCTTTCATGGCTGTCGAATTTCCCGTTTTTATCTTCTTTTACCTTTTTCTTGCTTTTGTTGCTCACGACTGTTGATCGACGGTCCGCGTAAACGATGTAACGCATCGTTACGAGAATCGTGCTTTTATTGTCATTTGTTTCTTTGTTACGGATTGTAAAATAATTTTTGAAAGTAGATTTATGAAAAGCCATGCTTTATAATATATGTTTAGATACTTTTTTAAAAATCTAATTAAATCGGTTCTTTGCGCTCGATTATCTCTTTACAGTCATACTATTAAACAAAATTGCATAACTGCATAAATCTAAATGTTATTATGTTTAATTTATTAATTAGTAACAAATGTTTATTTTAATTAATTATTTAAATGTGAAAGTAAACGCACTTCTGCATTTTTATAATATATGTATATATTGAATGTATACATTGAATGTATACATTGTGATCGCATATTTTTTTATATTGCATGATTAAGAAAAAAAATATATGAAGAATGATCGCATGAAACTTTCAGCATGATAAGAAATATTAGATTTATTTATGGTAATTTTAATTGAATAATATAAAAAATTAATGAAGAAATATAAGTAGGAGATCAAGTTTAAAATATTATACAAATTATTAAATTACTATCGTATTTATATTAAATATATAGTAATATTAATATGTAAATTATCCTATTTTAACTTGAAATTGCAGAACATTAAAAAAAATAAGATACATAATTATCGATTAATTATTTTTATTTCTACTTTAATCTACTTAAATCTATTCGATAAAGATTGAATTTTTAATGCGTTTTTCTTATTTCTCAAATTACAAATTGTATAACATGTAAATATTTTAAACCAAAAAAAAAATAAATATTTTATATTAGAAATGGTTTACTTTGGTGATGAATCGAGGTCACAGAAGCAATTCATTTTTTAACTCGAATGTAAAGTGTACAAGCCTTATCATAATTATGTTAAGAAGTCTAGATAAAACGGTTTGATTATATAAACATTGTAGGCATGAATATATAAATATGGTATGCTTTTCTGAAAAAGCTGTATACATTTATTTATGTACTATTTTTTTTTCTTTAAACATTTTTTTAATGAAGATTAATAATATTAGAGAATTATATTCTATTCTATATCAGCTGTTTTATAATTATTAGAAACATATATATGTAGAATTTTTTTGAAAATGCGGCTTTTTGCAAGAGCATATTCTATATTTATAAAAATGCAGGATGTTTATGAATATAGAACTAGTTTTCCTTAATATTAATATTAAAATATTATAGAAAATATTAATATGAGTAAAGAAATCTTCTCATTTCTAATATCCACTATTTTGAGATTACGTGAAACCAGTTTTGCTGTGTATTGTAATTGCAAATGTAACAACGCTGACGAAAATAATTTGCATTGTAATTTGAAATGTAACAAGCAATCTTCAAAGAAAACACGAACATAACATCAAAGAAATGCAAATGTAAAGAATGCACTATACATTGTTGGATTAGAGTCTCTGTTAGAAGCGCTGTTGTTACCACACGAAACTTGAAGTTATTCCAATGTCGTGCATAATACATCGTACGTGTGCCTTACCGAAGAGAGTCTTTGTCTACTGAGAGGTGTTAGCTAGGACAAAACACCGACGGTATTTATCGTATATATTTGCAGCTGTAACAACGCAGTGCGCAGCTATACGGGCCAGTCTGTTGTCGTGTTCTTGACGCTGACTGGCTGACGCGAAAACTCCACATTTTTGCAGTAACATAAAACGGCACGTTTAGTTGCTTTTTTTCGCGTTTGATATTATTGTGACATTGTACCACCCCGGTGCGCAAAATAACTCCAAGAAGTATGAAAAGGGGGCCTCGTTTACTTCGTTGGAAATGCGGTAGAAACCGATTAACATTTGTCGATTCGCGGTTTCCTTTATGCACGAATGTTGGATTTATCTTACTAGGTACTTTGTTGAGGCTTTAGACTCCAATTGCAACAATCGCCATATTTGTCACATCCAGATATGCAACACCGACTTGAAATTCACTCGATAAACGAATTGAACGCGTATTTTTAAGCCAGCTCTAAGTTATTTACCATATGTACCGTATGTACAATAAAATTTCTTTGATCGTCGATTGTCGGTTACTCGCTCTTTCTCTTTCTCTCTCTCTCTCTCTCTCTCGCGTTTATATCAATGCACATACTTGCGTTAGCATATAGTAATATAATACAAGGCATACACCCGCACAGGGCGAAGGATCGCGGAATATATTGCGATTAAGTTGTAATCTTTGAATATGCAAATTATTTTCCGAAGCTCGTTTCCCTATCAACACGTTATAATAATACTTGACGTTAACGCGTTAACTTTCATTTTGCCAACTCGTGAGGTCCTGTATTATGCCCGCCGCGAATCATGCTCGTGTAATTTCTAATGCGCATGGTGATAGCGCTGATTAGTGACATGATTCATATATTTTATTTATTTCATATATTTCATATATTTTACTGCTTACTTATTATTATTGTCACGCGTCGATAAAAAATAAATGACGATTGAATTGGCTACTGGTCATCGATCTTTAATATCATCTCCTATGTTTATGTGGTTATCTAGGAAGCTAAATCACTTTCATAAATTCTACAGCGACTATCTCCTTAGTATATATAATTTGATTTTCTCGTGACTTCCAAGATAATCTAATTTCACGTTCTGGTTATTTTAACTTGTTGTTTTATTCAATTTTATAATGTTAGTTATATTATCAATTGATATATTATTGATATCTAATGCTGTCACAGCATATTTAAAACTTTTGCTAATATTTATAGCATTATCTTTTATTTTAATAATGTTTTTCATTTTTTAAATGAACAACAAACCAATGTGATATTATTTTTCTTCTATCGTGACAAATAATTTCTAATTTTATCCTTGTTCTCTTTTACACTTGATATATTTCTAATCTCTCTGAAGGGTTTATAGTTTTTTGAACTCTTATTGTCGTATGTCTATTCATGCGTCAATAAGTTCCTTATCTATTTTATGAGTATGTAAGAATAGTTTTATGTCTTTTGTGAAGAGAGGTGAATGATTCAGCCGACATATAATGTAATAATTTCAATTCGAGGTTTGAATCAAAATCATATTAACAATTCGTAAGTCTATAATTCGTAAATTTTTCCTATTTCAACAATTTTAATATTATTTTGAATAATGAAACTTATTGTCGAATATTAATTTAATTATGTTTAAAACGGGACATATGCGTATTATATTTTTATATTAATTCTTACATTATAAAGGAATACATTAACTTATTATTAACATTTCTAGTTTATTATATTTCTAGTTTTTCCAGATTATTATATATATTTGTTCATAGTCTATACATCAATCATGCAAATTTAGCTGATTTGAATATACATCACAACATTCTTGAGATTTTGTTTAATATTTTGATTTTTAATTTAGAAAGTCAACAGGAACTCAGAAGATTCTTGTAAATTATTAATATCGAGTTAATTTATCTACTAATTAATCTTTGACATATCCGACCGCCTGACATCGTCTGTTTAATGTTTTTTTTTTTAACTAAGATTGTAAGAGTTGCATACTATTTCATTTTGTTTTCTTATTATTTCAATGTTTTGCATTGTATATGCAATTTTTAACATTAATTACATTTGAATTATATCTCGCGAATTTATTATAATACGCTTAAAGAATCGTGCTCTGTGTCATGTTATAAGCTTATCTCAATTGCATGCGTAGTTTTGTGGCTTCAAACTGCGCATGAATCTGATTTCTATTATTTCACTTGATATCACAGAAAAAAAGCAAAGATGCCACAAGCCTACGCAATTGCCAAAGCACGCGCGCGCGACAGTTTTATACGGATATTCTAATAAACTTTTTTATTTTTCAGATTGGATGAGTCCATTTGACAGAGTGGTTTGCGGTGAGTACGAATTATTGCTGTTAATTGGAATGCTTTTATATTATTATTATCATTATTTGCATTGCACATAAATATATATTTTTGTACATATATATATTATTTGCATTATATACGTATATATTATTACGTATATTGCTTATATAATATATTCCATATTTCTGTGAATTTCAAAACATTTTCCTTTAGGTAATTTAATTTTAGGTAATTTAATTTTAAATATTATAAACAATCTTATATTAACAAACTGTACATTAAGTGATCATGTTTATATCAATTATGAAAAATAGATAACTCTTTGAAAGAGTGAAGAAAAAAGTGATCTATTTTACATTACGCAAAATATTAAATAGATGATAACCACGAAAGATAAATTAATGTGAGATCTACATATCTCGAGATCTGAAAAAAGCTAGAATGCGAGGAAATGACTTTTCTCAAATATAAAGTTACACTCCATATGTTAGTCACATTTCTGTCTTCAGTTCAATATATAGAAGAGGTACTTATAGTTGTATGGAACATTATAGCTGTTTTCTTTTTCCTGAAAGCCACTTGTTCTTTCCTTACGTTTCAATATTGACATTATACAGATATTTATCACGTATTGTATTTTCAAAATTAAAAATACAAATAGTGTTTCCTTCCGTTGATTGTGCAATTATGATGCTGTCGTTCAGTCGCAGGTTGAATGAATGGTTTAATCATCAGTTTATGATAAAAAATTATGTAATCCCAAGCGTGTCAAGGTGTCAAGATCATCATTCGGATCATTTACGTGAATCGCGGCGCTACCGGGCACACGCTAAGTTCTTACCCTATTCATTTATGTTAGTTGCGCATGCAAGAAGGACATGTATATGGGCAACTACACCTGTCGTCACCATGATAATGTTAGCCGCGAATAATCTCCGTGACTATCTTTTATACAGCCACTTACGAGCCCACAATAGCGCAGTAAATACCGATTAGATAAAATTAAAACTTCAACCGACGGCTTTTATCGCGATGGTTTGTTTACATCAGGCGGATCATAATTTCAAATAGGCATTGGCGATCACTGTACGAAGTCTCCAACTGTGCAGAGGGAATGCTTACTCCGGTAGGAAATTACATTCCGATATATTCAAATAGAATATATCTATTTCTACATATATATGTAATCGGTAAATCACATATCGATAAATCAGAATATTCGTTCATCGTTATACGCGTTTATATATTTAGCTATTTCTTACTAATCACATGCTTTAACAATCTACATGTATTTCAAGTTATACCATTATCAAGTTGAAACTGTAATATTTTATTAAAATCAATTAACAAATTCATTATATTGTATTTTAAATTCATATTTATTATCGAATAAAATATAATGTGAAATAATGATAATTTTGAAGCGATTAAATAATAATATATGCAAAATAATAAAAAACAATAAATTAAATGGAATATTTAAAAAATTAAAACCATAGCAAATATTATAAATTAAGCTATTTGAACCAATACAAAGACGTGAATAACATTTTTTTTAATGGAAAGTAATTCACTTAGATACAGATATATATATCTAGATTCTACAATTTAAAAGATTAAATTAGTTTTCTAATTTTAATTAACTTTAGTTAATTAAATTTTATTATTGTCGTAATGCATAGATATTTCGTTTCCTACACAAAAAGAAAAAATTTACGAAATATTATATGAATGCAACACTTTATATTTATCGCATTTATTTTAAATTCAATTCATGTGCTCGTAGTCTCTATTTTTACTCACAACCTTATTCTTCGTTGTTTTCATTGATTCAGTATATGCTTAATACATGAATGTTCTATGCTCTGAGATTTAGAATCAGTTTTTTTGAACTTTTGTTCTTCGGGATTGTCCATGCATCTCATTAAAATTTGTAACGTTCGAAGTTATATATATATAAAGTATCCTGTTGTGATAAAAGAAAAGAATGAGAGACAGAGCTAAACAAATTTGTCTTATTTATTATTCAGTATTTTTCGACAAGCAAAAGCGCTTAAAAACTTTATTTATCTTTTTTGTTTTTTGAAGAATTTCCTCGCCAATTGTTTTATAATGTATTAAATATTATGATAGATTTAATTCGCGTTTCTTTCATACGATACGCACGAATTACGAATGCAATATCGTAATATAATTTTTTAAATATTATACTAACTGAAGAACTACTAACATCAGATATGATTGCAACTTTTTTTTATTCGTATTAATAACGTGTCGCGGATACAATTAAATGACTTTTTCATTTGTAACTGATGCAAAATCTTTTCGAAAACCACGATTAGTTTGCGTTTGAGAACGAAATTCCAGGATCATGAAAATTTTTGGGAATGTTGTTCACATTCAGCTGAAATTAAAATTACACCGGCTAACGTGACGCTGAATGTAGTAACCAAGCGGAATTGTTAGCGCGGACGATCTACGAATTTCTAATCTGTCTCCGGTATACGCGAACATATTCTGACATTGGGGGTTCAGAGGCCTGCAAATGTCTAGCTGGATTACGGTGTGTACATGGGGACTAGCAGGAGATAATGTATAATTTATAATCAGGCCGATCCGCCAACAACGGCACACCACTCTACGGGTAGAGTCCACTGCCCCAAAAGCCGCCAACCCCTCATTAGCATTCGATGATGGCTGCCGCGTCCTGCAGCGTCGGTATTATCCCATTTCATCGCCCCCGCCTCCCCTACCTGAACCTCTCTTCGTATTCTCCCGCCTCCGATCTTGTCGGTTCTTCCCGTCTCTCACACGTAAACGTTTCCTCCCTCGCCTGTCGCATCAGCATCCAGCAGGTATCCAGCATTGACTGGAAAAAGAATAGTGTCCATCGAACTTTTATCCAGCAAATTTCATCCGTAATTCTGCTTTATGCTGCGATCCCCTGCACACTCTTTTCACTTTTCTATTTTTATCATCATTACTTCTTGCCATTAATATCTATACGTTTCTTACTAAACTCTGCGCGGAACGTTGCTGCGGGAAAGTCTAGCTGCAAGGGAACATTAATATTTTGAGGCGTGCAAAATTGGAGGTTGAGTACAAAACTAGTCGTAAAAACTAGACATTGGGGGACGCAGTCAATCGAAAAATTGAAAAGCGCGGGGAAAAACAAAGATTGAAATTTTTATATTCGTTGATGCGGCGTGACCGCTTTTGACATTTCCGAGGGAAGCCAGGTTTTCAAAGACAGGTCAGGATCGTGTTGTCACAGAGATTATTGAAACTGCAGTTTTATGGGCCTTAAAAGCAGTTTAATTGCCGTTATATAAGTGTTTATATGCTGCCAGGTTTGGCCTCCGCCTGCGCCACCCCAAACGTTTATTTTATGGTCACACGGCGGCGCGTACCCTGTTATGTCGCGTGCCGAAGCCATCGCACCAGTCAAATCCTCAGGTCAGTCGATTCCAAATATTGGTGCACATTTACGCGACGGCTATCCTAAAGCGATATCTTACAATGTAAGGTATTTGGAATCGGTTCATCAAGGATTAGACTGACACTTAACTTTAGAAAGGGAATTTTATTCAACATCTTTGTTTACACTTTCACATTTTCTTCTGAAGGGATAACTTTAATATTATTTAATATTGGCGGATTAATATAACATTAATAAAAAATATACACATTATTGTGCATGACATAAAAATATTGCAAAAGATATATTATATATCTTTTGGAAATATTTTTTAAAACATCTTGATGTGAAAGAACTTAAATAGAATACTAAAATTTCACATTAAAAAATTTTTTACTTTTTATGATTATACATTTATATTTAAATATATATATATTTTTTTAATTATTTGCGATTTAATTATTTTTTTAATTATCACAATTTTTAAAAGAATTCAAATTTTAAATATTTACTTTTGTTATCTGTATTATGATACTGGATACGGAATTCAATATATTTTTTTTTTATTGTCGTTTCGAATCGAAACATTATGTGACATTTCCTTTTCTATTTCCTTTTTGTACTTTATACTTTAACTCTTTCCAGAAATCCCTTTTTTCACGCTCGGACTTTCACTAAACCTTTTGTCGCACATATTGCGCATTTTTTCTCATTATCGTAAAGGCGATAAGTTTTCCCTGATCCACAGAAAGAGCGAGACTGACGCAAGAATCAAAGATTTTGTTTTCGACGTGTGTAAATCACGATGTTGTTTCGTGCTGAGTCAAGTGAAAGTAAAGGCTTTGACAATCGTATTTTATACGAAAGTCAACTATCATAATAAAGAATGTCACACGTATTTTTAGTTCTTTTTCATTGATGTGTTTTGTTTTTGAATTTTTATATTGAACTTGAATTTTTAAATATTATGGAATTGATTTAAATTGGCGCTATGTATAAGTAAACCAGATTTAAATAATTAATTTCAAGTTAATTATTCTGAATAGGCGCACATTGCCATATTTATAACTTCTTATCTTTCTTATTTTAAGTAATCGTTCACATATAATTTTAAAACTGCGTAAATAGACGTTTAATATTAATCTAAATATTATGAAATAAATGAGATCGTAATTCAATATAGAGAAAAAAATATTATTGATAATAATATTATTGTTCTAGATAATAATCGATGCATAATTCATTTTATCTATTACTATTCACATAAATCTGCAATCAAGGCTACCGATATATATATATATACAGAGATATATCATCGCTTAGGTTTCTTGCTGCAATAGGTAGTTTTTATTTATGTCACGCGAACTTTATTACACGGACGTGTTCGACATTTAAAATGTTTAAAGTCTTAAGATTAGATTTTGTCTTCTATGATTATATGTAAACGACAAGAAATGCTTGCTACTCGAAGATAAATATTTATCCTTCATGTGAAAGTTAAATTCCAATAAAATATACATGCGGATTATAAAGGATGTTATATTCGTATGTCTTTGTTTTCTCTAGCGACGCACGATCTCTTTCACAGGGATATGATCTTATTTAACTC